ATGGCACACTGACTTCTGAGGAAATTTTAAATGGCATTCGCCATCAGAAAGGTTGCCTACCCCTGGTGTATGTGATGCACACTCAAGATGCACTGTGTACAGCTCTCCACGGACACCCTTTATTGTGCTCAGAGTTGGAAGTATCAAGGTCCAAATTGTCACGGACCCAGCTCCGGGGACTCAGGGTCCGTGGGCAGTGTGGACTACTGTTATAATTATTGCTGTGATTATGTGATGTGTGTGTTGTCTGCACTGCTGCTGTTCTTGCGATTCCCCGTCTTGGTATGTATAGGCAAGTGGGTGTCTCTGTGAGTGTGGCTGAGTACTGGGTTTCAGGTAGGCCTGGTGGGTGTGTCCTATCTAGAGGATGGCCACACCTGAAGCAGATGATGACTCACACACCTGCAACTAATGAAGCGTTGTCGGGGAGCTTCTTAAAACGGTGGCCGAGCGCTCCTCGGCGTGGGATCGTTGCGTGAGACTCCACGTTAGTGTTATTAATACCAAGTCCAGCGAGTGCATGCCCGCGGTAGTCGAGTGTCCTGACAAGTTGCTTCTATGTTGTTTTTCTCCAGGAAGGAGCAGGGAAGACAAGAGCAGCGAGCACGGGGTGCGGGGACACACAGGAGCGGAAGAGCACGGAGCACGGACTTGTGGGTGAAGACACGACACGGAAGTCAAGGGGAGAACACGGGATTGATTCTGTGAACTATTTCCACTACTGTAAATAAACGCACTGCCTTCATCACAAAGTCCTGCATCTTGGGTCCTCATTCCCCTCATCCTCACGGTCTGCCATACAGACCGTGACACAAATACTTTGTTACAGTGTTTAAGTAGAAGTTTCAGATATCTATATTGTACCTGAGTATTTATTTTTCTGACGATTTTTTATATTTACTCGTTACATTTAACCACAAATATCTGTATTTTCTACTTCTTACGTCTTCAAAATAGACTCATTACTTTAAGTTTAACACATTTAAAGGAAAGTTTTTATTTCCCAACACTGTGTTTGCGGCTAATTAAAATCAGCAGAGAAAGAAACGAATGTTATCAGTTATAGAAATGAACTGCAGAGGAATTTCGTTCAAAAAGGAGCGTGACTGCGACACGGAGATAAGACCTAAAGTGTTGTACAGTTATTATACACAGTTATTACATTTGACTTGTATATCTCTTCAAACAATGCAAAAGATTCAAGCCTAAGCTGATGCTGCACTCTATGGATAGTTTATCTAGTTGTGGTTTTTAAAATGCTTTAAATTCCGATTCACAAAGAAGCGAGATACCAGAATCGTGACAGACACAGTACATTTTGTTCCTTATTTTCAACACACACTAGATTCCTCCATCTACATCCATCCATTTTATCTTGAACATGTTAGATAAACTGAGCCAATTAACCTTTATTAAATAGCTACTACCGTTTTTCAATTAGTTTGGGTCACAAAATGTGGTTGGAACATTATTTATTTTGTTAAAAAGGTTTTGCAGTTGCTTTCATCTATCTCAAAATCACTGGCTTCCCCAGAGATGGACACGAGATGTCCTTCAGCATTGTTGTGTGTGAATACCACAGCACAAACAGAACTGTCTAGTTGTTTTGATGCTAATGAAATAATGAAATATTGAGTGGAAGAAGAAGCCACAGCCTGAGTTCTCCAAATGTTTATAATGTTTACTAACTGTAGTTATTCCACTGCAAACCCTGCGAATCTGCAGTTCTGCATGACTTTATTTGGTAGTGTTTGACAAATATGCAGCCCTCTTCTTTATTTGGCATTGTTTCTTTCATGAATTTCTTTAGAAAAGAGAATCTAATAGTTCTCACATTCACAGCTTTACTTTGCTGTACAAGAGCAAAGAATGTTACACACTATTGATTGAGACTGTTTAGTATTGTGATGCACACTCAAGACGCACTGTGTACAGCTCTCCACGGACACCCTTTATTGTGCTCAGAGTTGGAAGTATCAAGGTCCAAATACTTTGTTACAGTGTTTAAGTAGAAGTTTCAGATATCTATATTGTACCTGAGTATTTATTTTTCTGACGATTTTTTATATATTTACTCGTTACATTTAACCACAAATATCTGTATTTTCTACTCCTTACATCTTCAAAATAGACTCATTACTTTAAGTTTAACACATTTGAGGGAAGTTTTTATTTCCCAACACTGTGTGCCTTCAAACATCAAATCGATTTGGGCCTAAATTGAGGGAATAAGAATGCATAAATAGCAATGTTACTGATGTAGCCTCAATCACTGGGGTTTATCCAACCTAATACCATGTCAAATCGTGAAATCAAGCCAGTTCACCGTGTCAATTTCACGTTTTAGAGAGGCAAAGTTTTGATATTTTGTTTCAAGCCAACATGAAAATAATCACAGGAAAGTGTCAAGCATCATACCGCCTGAACATATTTGGTAGTTTGGTACTCATTTTGGTAAGTGAATACCCTTGCCCTTTTTTCAGAATAACCTCAGCTTTCAACATCTGGCAATCATTTTAGATTATTATGATAAACTGGAAATTTAAAGCTTTGAAGCTGTGTTTTTCTATACTATATTTTGTATTGTGAAAGGTCCTGTAAAACAAATGGAGGTACGCTAAATTTGTGTTATTCATTGGTTGCATGAAAATACAAGGCAGTGTTGTGAAGGATAAGCAGGTTAGCTTGCTGCTCTGTGTGGCTGTTACACATCCATGGTCAGAGGTGATTTATCAGATATCTCCGTGTTGATGTTTTAGTTGCATCATCAAAATACTGTTGCTCCATGATCAACACTGCAACTGACCAATCAGTTAGTTTAAATAAAGATCCGATTGATGTTTTGTTTGATTTCATTAGCATATTTTCATCACTCCTAATATAACACGTCAATGATGTCCACAGGCATTTTGTGGGACAGTTTTTGTTTCTTTTCTTTCATTTAATGTTGACAAAACATAAAAATGTAAATGGGTAAAAATTCACCCTGTACCACCATCGTTCTGTAGTCTAAGGAGCTTGGAAAGAAAAGTGTCTGGACTTCTTCAAGTTGCTAGAAGACATTTCACCTCTCATTCGAGAAGCTTCGTCAGTTCTAGTGAGCTCAGCTCACAGCTTCAGTTCAGTAACAGAGTGACTTCTCTGACAGAGAGGGAATTTACGTGTCTGTGTGAGTGGGAGTGTTCTCTCAGGTCTAGACGGAGGAGGTGTTGCTTCAGTTTTGTTAGGAAAGCCCCGAATGGTCCAAAATACGTAATGTTGACCTCCACGATTTCATGCACCTGCTAATAACATGAAACACCAAAAACAACAAAGAAATGATGTTACGAAGTAAAGAAAGAACTGCTTACACAGGAAAACAGTTCCTTAAAGGAGAATGACTGGGACATGCTGATATGAGACATAAAATTTGGGGGTTAATTATCCTAAAATAAAACGGGAACCAGAGTAAATGCAAGTCCTGTGTCACTGTGCCATCCTCTCTGCATCATGTACATAGCACAAACCGAAAGGAGTGCAACAGTCACTTGGCTTTCTTGTTGCACTATATAACTATCAGAAATGGTGTAAAAACTTTACCGTGAACAGGTGTGTCTGCCAAACATTGAGTTTCTCTCCGTCCAACAACATCTGTAGTTTTTCACGAGAATGAGAGTTTATAATGTTTCATCTGAAATGATGACCCATTTTTATAAATGTAACTGAGCACTGTCGAATAAAATGTGAAAGAAATACATTTAGAGAATCCACTTACGTAGAAGTGCAATGTTTATTAATCTGTTCACTATGTGGTTGGTTCATGCTGGTAAGGCTAGCTGTTATGTTATACACTTCTGAGATATAAGCTAAAATGATTTTGGTGTCCTCTGATGGAACATTATTGGGTTAACCCTTTCATTGCTCCTAATAAAACACATCAAAGATCTACACAGGCATGTGTGGCAGAGTGGCACATCTGTAACACTCCTGCACCTGATTTTTAGAAGAGTATCTTTGTATTGCTACTGCCACCACAGTTGACATCATCATATTTAAAATTGCTATACTTACTTAACTGGCCCTCAGTTATCATCATGTGCTATCATTGTAGGCATTCAATCAGAATGCAAGGAATTAATAAAGGCAGAGATCCTCTGATCAAATTTGATTTCATGTTTTTATTTACAAAAACACATATACATTTCAGAGGGAACCCTGCAAATGTGGAAAGGTGAGAAAAAAGATGTCCTTTCATTTAAAAAAAAAGGTTTGACCAGTGGGTTCCCATAACAATGAGATCCTCACAGATGAGGAAATAAGAATAAAAACATGTGAGGTAGGTGAGAGGGGGAAAAATGGTAAAGAAGAATGACAGATAAAGAGTTTTCAGTACATAAAAATTGGGTTTTGCATATTGTTTAACAATTTATCTTCCATGAATCAACTTCCATTAAACAATCCATCATGTCTATGAGAATGTTGTAATAATGTCACAAGATAACAAAAACAGAGATTAACTTCCACAAGGTGATGTGTCATAAATCACAAATCTCTTGTATTTATATTAAAACCAGTTATAGGTACAGGTCAGTTAGAGGTATAGGCCAAAGGTACAACACTGTGGAAGTCTTGAGCTACCCCTCATTTCCTTATATTTTGAAGAAAAAGATGACTTACTGCTAAATTGACAGAGTGAAAGTAGACAGTACCTCCTTGTTTTATTATCATCAGACTCACTGCTGCAGCCAGGGGCAGTACAAATGTGATTCCCTTAGACTGCTTTTTAATTTTAGTCTCTTTGTTTTCCTCTGAGTTGTTGTTTCTGTCACTAGTTAACTAACATAACCTAATGTAAGTCTATCAGCAGAAACCAACCAAACCATAGACTTGCTCTAAAAACTTTAACCTAAAACAATTATTTCCTAAATCCATATTACCTCAATTACAGTTTCTTTTTTTTTTTGTTTTTTTTTACAACAGGGCTCCACTGAGCTAATTAACCTTCAAATGTGTAGTGTTTCATGTCCTCTTTAACAATGTAATTGAGGATTCAGAATTATTCCACAGTTAGTCACTGAGATTCATCTAAGTCATAAAATAGAGAGAATCTTATCTGAGATGTGGTTAGGTTCAAAATGCTGGATAAGTTAGATTTTTGAAAATACTTTATAAAATAACCACAGAGCTCCTTTCAGTGTAATAAGTTTCATCCTGCCCCCCGGGCTTTGTGGGTTTCCTATGAGGCCTCTGATTTCCTCCCAGAGTCCAAACAGGTGATGCAGGCTGGTTTAAGTGGTAGCTCCGAGTTTGGGTGCATGGGATTAATTTTTTAATGTGGGCCTTGATTTGTCCTCTAAACTTCCCTGTGGCAAAATAATAAACTACAGGGTCCAAAATGCAGTTGAGGCCCATAAGAACCAGGGTGATCTGATGAGCGTCGTTCAGCAACTGACGAGTGGTCTCGCTGTACTTCATGTGGCCGAAGCCGTCTTCGATCTCCAGCACTGCCAGAGCCCAGGGGCCTTGAACTATGTGGTGTGGCAGGAAACACAGAACAAACACTCCCACCACTGCCAGCAACATCTGGAGAGCCCTCCGTTTTACCCCTGTGGGCCATTTAAATATGGATGTCAAAGTAGGCTTTTTAGACTGTGTTCCTGAAGACTGACTTTCCGACTGAGGAGAATTTTTAGAAATTAAACTTTGAGCAATAAGGACATTGCATATCACAATGAGTAAAAAGACAACAAAAAACAATCCAATTATTAGAAAATGAGTGACAGCCACTTTTTTCTTCTTGTCATTAGTTCCACCCTGGTATCCCTCAAAGCAGCGACGTATGTCGGTGTTGTTTTTACGGTGCACGTTGATCCCTGGACTCACCAGAAAAGGAACAGAAATCGTCAGAACAAACACCCAGATACAAATACAAACAATGATTCCACGAATTCTGCGGTTTGACGAGGCTGCGTCTAGAGGCCGAGTCACCGCCCAGTATCTGTTGATGCTGATGGCTGAAAGGAAGAGGATGGTGCCGTAGGTGTTGATGAAAAAGAAGGTGCCTGTCACCCGGCACATGACGTCTCCATAAACCCAGTCTCCCTCACGGATATAATAGTCAATCCAAAAGGGAAGAGCACACACAAACAGAAGATCAGCGATGGTCAAGTTGGTCATATAGATGTGAATTTCTCCCATGGCCTTGGCTTGATGGATGCAGCGCAGGACAAACAGCACGTAGAGGTTAGAGATGAAGCCCAGGATGAAGAAGACGATGTAGGAAACCGGGATGAGCACATAACGAAACTGAGAGTCCAGGAACGGATTAATGGTTGTGGACACCATACTACTCATTGTTGTCATAGTAACTGATTGAGTCATCTTTGTCTGTGGGAGACAAAATATATTATCATCAGTACAATGTCTTATGACAGAGTTTTACTCCGTTTTGATGCAGATGACAAAGGTAGTGTACAATGGAGGGAAAAGAAAGAAAGGGAAAGAATACATGTATGAATGACTAAATGTATATTTTTGAATGTTACTCTGACTGTATTATACAGGTCAGGGTGTTGTCAGGGTCAGGGTTCATTGATGATCCAGTCCAAAGATGGCGAGCGCTCCATCCAGGAGTCCTTGATATGATTGTTCTGAGAAGAAAGTTAAATTCTTTGGACGAGCCTTGAACTGTTCAAATTCTACTTAAGTGGTAGAACAGCATTGCACCTCATTGCTCCTTTGCACATTCTGCAAAGAGAACCCTTATTGGACTCACACTTAAGGGTGTGGGCTGACACGAGAGAGACTGAGTCAAATTTCCACAGGGCGTGTTTTGTTTATTATTTTTCATGATTGAGCCCCATTTTTCTTTCATGTAAGTAAAAGTAAAGTTACATTTTATTTATATAGCACATTTTAAGATAAAAATCACAAAGTGCTTCACAGAAGCTGAAACAAAGATAAAAATCAACCAAAAGCAAGTTTAAAAAGATCAGTTTTTAGCTGTTTTTTAAAAGTGACCACTGAGTCCACAGATCTCAGGCTCAAAGGGAGAGAGTTCTACAGTCTAGGGGCCACAGTTACAAAGCTCTGTCACCTTTTGTTTTCAGCCTCGTGTGTTGGACAACTAGCAAGCCCTTGATCAGATGACTTCAGGGACCTGCTGGGAATGTATGGATGTAAAAATTCACTGATATATGTTGGTGCTTGTCCTTGTAAAAACCAGTGGTATAATAGTGCTTAACATACAAAAGTGTCAGAAGTAAGTAATAGAGAAAGATGAAAGCCATGTCAAAGTACCAAACATGCTAGCAGGTTAATGGCATTAAAAACACAGAAACAAAAGAAATACATATAAAAGCATAATAGAACAATATGTGTAAAAGATAAAGGAGTCAAGAAAAATTTTAAAATAGTTAAGAATAGAACGATAATTGCAACAAGCATTAAACTAACTTAACAAACAAGCATTAACTGTTAGAAAAGGTGAGGCTAAATAAACAGGTTTTTAACTGCGATTTGAAGGATTGAATGGATCAGACTCACGGGTGCAGCCAAGGCAAACACGCGGTCACCTCTAGTCTTCAGCCGGGATCTCGGCTGTACCAAAAGTGACTGGGAAGATGATCTTAGTACTCTATCAGGGGTGTATAATCTAAGTAGTTCAATGAGGTAACTTGGCTCTTAATTGTTAATAGTTCTAAAGGTGAGCAGCAGGATTTTGAATTGAATACGGTACTTAACGGGAAGCCAGTGCAGGTCGGCAAGGACAGGGGTAATAGAGACACGCCGCCCGGTATCAGTAAGGAAATGAGCCGCCACATTCTGAACAATTTGCAGTCTATGGAGAAAAGTAGAGTTAAGACCAAAATAAAGGGAATTGCAGTAATCCAACCTAGATGTCATGATGGCGTGGAGAAGCTTTTCCAGGTCCCTGTGCGGGTCATAGTGTCTGGCCTTGCAAATAAGATGCAATAGAAGCAAGATTTGACAACAGAAGACACTTGTTTGCCGAATTTAAAAGAGCTGTCCAAAAACACACCCTCAGTGCAGCAGGGCTGTGACATGGGAGTACTTGGAGGACTTGGTCAGAAGCTTTGCAGCAGCATTCTGAACAACTTGCAGATGCACCAAAGAGGCATTATATAAACAAGTAAACAAAGAATAACAATAAACAATGAATGAAAGATGAAACAAATGCATGAATGACAATTTCTAATTCGGAGCGCGATACAGTGGGACTCAGCTTAGCAATGTTTCTCAAGTGATAAAAACAGGAGCGGACCAGATATTTAACATGACCAAAGTCAGAGCTGAGTCAAAAGTTACACCAAGGTTCCTGATAGAAGTTTTGGTAAAAGTAGCAAGTGGACCCAAGTTTTCCATAACCCAAACAAACGAGGAGTTCAGTCTTCAACTCATTTAGTAGAAGAAAGTTTAGAGCCAATCAACCTCAAACGGAGTCTATGCATCTATGCAAAATCTGTAGCTTGGAAACATCTTGAGGCTTAAAGGAGATATATCTGAATATCATCTGCATAGCAGTGATAAGAAATGCCCTTAAAAGTGCTCAATAAGTGCTGGAGAGGTAAATACAACTTCCGCTCTACAATGCTATTTTTTCATTGTATATATATGTGATTATTCATTTGTGAATACAAGTTTATCAAACCAAGTTCTCTGAGCGTTTCATTAGTCATCCACTTTGCTCTAGCAGTCGAACCTTAGCGATTGGCCCAGCACACAGGTAAACATTCAAATCTCTATTCCAAGGATTGAAAGGGGTGTTACAAAGGTCTTAGTAAAAGCAAGCAATACAATAAAGTGATTATAAATCACAATTTGCAACTGTGTTTCGCAGAACTGTAGTTCTAATGTGTTAACAGAAACTGTCTTCAAACAAACATTTCAATATTCTGTATAAAAGGCATATAAGCCTTCCTATTACCTATTCTCTAATCTAATTCTCAGAGGAAAATGCTTCTGATAAGAGGACACATGAGTCTGCATCTTACTGTAGCACTATACAACATAGGGGTATTAAAAGGAAGTCACAGTCAGTTACAGAGCAAAAGAGACTGACTGGGGTGGGCTTTGTGACTGTAAAGGTTGCCACTGAAGACAAAATGGTTACGTAAGAGACGTTATTGAAACTAAAGTTGGTTAAGTACTGATAGTGATCTTTAGCACATGACCTAAATTCATCAAAAAGATTGAACTACAAAAGTATGCAAGTGGTTTAACCAGCATGTGGTTCTTAGACTATAACCTGCTATAAACAACCTGCTACCGAATGTTGGTGCAAATGGACTTTTTTGAACGAGCAATGACCAAACAGCCTGCTGCAGTTTGCAAGAGGTTTGCAACATGTTTCCAGTTTTGAGCACGCAATGAATGGTTTTAATTAGATCAGCAGCTACACCACAAACAGTTCTAAGAAACCAAGTTAGCGATTTTACAATTTTGATTTCAACTACTGATAATATCAAATCTAATCGCTTTATTACAAGTTAGTCAAAATGTAATAATCCTGTTATGCTATAATTAATAATAATAATTTGGAGTTCAAATTCAGTTTAACATTATGAGAAGGACATTACCTTCCCCAAAATATTCATTTTATACAAATATCATACTAAGAAATTGATAAAGGAAGCGCTTAAACCATAAATTGCCAACATTTCACTCACCACATCACATTTCACTCTACTAACCTACTGAGTAACATGTTTTGTTACTGGCTTTGGTAATTTTATTTGAAATAGAGGTTTTGTTGATTTTATTTATTTATTTTAAAAATATTTTTGAAGGGGGAGGGGGGAGATGTCCTCGTCTAATATCAGTCCTGACACTAAGTAATTATTCTAATTATTATTAGTGAGTGGAAGACACTGCAGCCACTACATACAGCTTCACACTTTACATTAGACTTAGTTTTATCTGCATCTCTTAATAACCTCTATTTGTCATATAAAAAAACAAATGACAGAGTTACTGCTTACCTGACTGCGCCTTCTGTTGTTTAATCGTCTTCTGTATGTAATAACACTTTGAATGAATTCACAGCTTCAGTTCAGCAGCAGCACGACTTCTCTGACAGAGAGGACAGTTATGTGTCTGACTGTGTGAGTGGGAGTGCTCTCTCAGGTCTAGACGGAGGAGGTGTCGCTTCAGTCTTCACAGGAAAAACCTGAAAGGTCCAAGACACGGAAGATTCGCCTACACAATTTCATGCACCTGAGAATAACATGAAGAGAAACGTCTACTTTGCTGCAACATTTTACTAACTTTTTGGCGATTCATAGAATTGTTTTCAAAACACCACCACGAAAAATGATGTTACCAAGTAAAGAAATTAGCTGCTTACCTAGGAAAACTAGTCCTGAAAAGGAGACAGACTGGCACATGCTAATATGAGACATAAAATTGGGGAGTTATAAATGTTAGTCTGTGTATGAAAAGTCACTGCCACTATTCACAGATTTAAGTTGAATTTCATTTTCTAAAAATGCAGCAAAATGTGCTACCGATGATTTTAATCACCCTAAAATAAAACGGGAACCAGAGTAGGTGCAGGCCCTGTGTCGCTGTGCCATCCTTTCGGCATCATATGCATAAGCATAAACCTACAGAAGGAGTGCAACAGTTACTTGGTTTTCACTACTCATTGTTGTCATAGTAACTGATTGTGTCATCTTTGTCTGTGGGAAACAAAATACATTACCATCAATACAGTGTCCTATGACAGATGAGCAGAGTTTTGATGCAGATGACAAAGGTAGTGTACAATGGAGGGAAAAGCCTTTGAGAATAACTTTTTGTTGTCCTTCCATTGAAGGTAGGTAAGATAAATAAAAGTAATAAATAAAACTGTCTTCTGTGAAAGGTGTACATGGTCTGCAACAGGTGGTGCATGTCAAAGTAACATCCACATGGGCTCCTCAGACCAGGCCACCTTCTTCCATTGCTTTGTGGTCCAGCTCTGATGCATGAGCAATCAGCTGATACACAACAATCTGACACTTTTCTGCTAGAACCAGCACTAACTTTTTTTTGGTAATTCAAACTATCATAGCTCACCACTGTTTAATTTTGTATTTTCTAATATTTTTTATTTTTTATTTCATTTTGACTTTTTGTTTTTAATTCAGTTTAGTTTCTATTAGTATCCAGAGTGGATTTTGTTGTTTCAGTTTAGTTTTAGTTCTTAGTATGTTCAGAAAACCTTTATTTGTCACACAAAGGTTACCCTCTGGTGAAATACCAGTAGTATTATGGAAAAACACAGAAAGTACAGTACAATGGGCAAGTGGAGGAGGGAAAAAAGAGACCTCTACTCCTGCTGGACTCTGAGGAGAGCACAGAAATTATCACATTACAACACCATGAAGCACATGACAAGCAACAGGGGTGGGTAAGGGGCGAGAAGTAGGCCTATGTAGACACAGCTATCCGCATCTGCTGCCATCGGAGGGCGCTGAGCTGGAGCAGGTGTTGGAGATGGGAGATAAACACAGTCCTGTTATCAGGGAGAGAATTTGTTGTTGTTCAGCTCCAGCCTTGCAGCTTGCGGCGATGTGGTAGCCGCATGAGATGATGGTGGTGTTTTCCTTTAGTGCGAACAACTGCGTGTCAGTTTAACAGTTGATCTAAAATGCCTGTCACCGATCTTTCGATCTCGTTGTATTTTTGTAGTATTTTTTAGTGTTTAGTGTTTTTCTGTATAAAAGGCGTACTAGGACTCTGGTGTCTGCCATAGCCTTCCTATTACCAATTTTCTAATCTAATTCTCAGAAGAAAATACAAAAAAGAAGTCACAGTCAGTTACAGACCAAGAGAGACTGACTGGGGTGGGCTTTGTGACTGTTAAGGTTCCTACTGAAGATAAAATTGTTGCGAAAGATAAGTTGAAAAGTTGAAACCAAAGTTGTGTAGGTACTGATACTGATCTTTATCACTGGACCTGAATTCATTCAAACAATTGAACTAAAAAGTATGCAAGTGGTTTAAGCGACATGCGGTTCTTAGACTATAACCTGCTTTAAACAACCTGCTACCGAATGTTGGTGTAAATATTGTTGTGCCATATATTTTTCTTTCATGTCCTTCAGGGTTTGTAGAAACATGTGTCTGTCTTACACAGATCTGTTTATATATTTCAGTGCTGACCTGACTGTGACAGCTAAGACACGTTTGAACCTGTTTAATGGTCTCTTCTGAACAAGCGATGACCAAATAGCCTGCTGCAGTTTGCAAGAGGTTTGCAACATATTTGCAGTCTTGAGCAGGCAATGAATGTCTTTGATTAGATCAGCAATTGTACCACAAACAGTTCTAAGGAAGCAAATTTTGGTCTTAGGAAAGACCTGTATGATACGGAACATTCGCCTACACGATTTCATGCACCTGAGAATAACATGAAGAGAAACGTCTACTTTGCTGCAACATTTTACTAACTTTTTGGCGATTCATAGAATTAGCAGTAAATTGGCCTGTTGTAATAGCCTCTCGATGTCATGTAATACAAGAGGGAACTGCTTCTATTACATCCTGTGAGGCTGTGGGAGTGTGTGGGCGTGGTGTTGTCTTCTCCCTCTCCTCCTCCTTCTTTCTTGCCCCTCCCCTTTTCTCTCTCTGCCCCTGCCTTCTCCTTTAGGACACACCTGCTGCTCATCTGCCCTCGTTACCACCAATTACTCTCAGAGGTGATAAGCTGGAGAAGAGCAGTGTGGTGGTGGTGCTGCTGCTGCTGCTTATTATTATTTCTTGTGAAGAAGGGAGGAGCCAAAGTTAGTTTTCCTTGTGTGTACTTCTTTAGAATATTCAAATTGTCATGCAAATTGATAATTGTGCTGAATCATGTCAGAATCATGTTAAAAGTTGGAAAGCACAAAAGATAAATTTCTCAATTTTCCACACCAACCTCTCCATCCATGCCTTTAATCCTTAGCTTTAGAACAACTACAAGTAATAAATGGTCAAATGATAGTCAGTTAACCTTTGCAAAATAGCTAATGTTTTTTATGATGATCAACTAAAGTGTGGTCTTCTACTTCTTCGACTTCGACTTCTTCGAAAGTTTTCAGCTAACATCTCTGTGGGAATCACCTTGTTGGTGCATATATTCAACAAAAGAAATGGTAACAATTCATGTCTTTGCGACTGACTGCTAAAATTGTTTTTTGCTAAGTTGTCTATTATGTGTAGAAACAACACTTGTTCTTCCCTTCAGCTAGCTGCCATTTTTATCCTTGAGATATTCATAGGTCAGTGGGGTTTAATGAACAAAACATTGTATATAAGATAAGTGAGCAATGCTACATTTAAACCACACGATGGCGGTAGAGACTAACAAAAGGACTTTCCCTCCATTTCAAACAGTGCACAGTAGGTAAAAGTTTCAAGCAGAATCTATACGGCACTCTGTGAACTGCATGAACCACAACTCTCACTCGGTGTAGTTCAAAGCAGCACCAGTCCCCCTCTGTGGTAAATGTCTAATTCCAGGTCCTATGTACAAGCACACAACACAACACGTCCTCCTTTCCCTGGTGCCACAGTATAATTCCTAGATTAAGGTTAACGAGCCTCTCCAACCTTATTGCTGTAATTATGGCTTGGCAGTGGAACAAGACAGCAGAGCTTTTTGGTGGTTGTGCCCTTCATGACTGCCAGACATGCTGTGCCATTGCGGGGTATAAACTGTAAAAATCTTTTCACATGCAACTTGTTGCTCATGGTTTGGGTGTGGATTCAAAAAGATTCCACAGTAAGTCACTGAGATTTGTCTCGGTCATGAAACGAAGAGCATCTTATATGAGATGTGGTTTGGTTCAAAGTGTAGTCCCGGATAAGTGATGTTCTTGAATATATTTTAAACAATAGCCAGTGAGGTCCTTTCAGTGTGTTGAATTTCATCTTGTCCCCTTGCCTGTGTTGGTTTTTGCCATGAGTCCTCTGATTTCTTCCCAGAGTCCAAACACATGATGCAGGCTGGGTTAAGTGGCAGCTCTGAGTTGCATTTATGTGAATGTGATATTGAAGGCTTTGTCCTGCAGAGATCGACTCCACAGTCACAGCGCACTGGGACAATGGAGTCCAGTAAAATGCATAAAAGATGTCTCCATCATTTACAGTCCATGGCAGCGCATGGTTTGAAAACACGCTCAACAATAAGAAAATGGTGTCAGTTTGTTTTTCTTCCAGAGCTCAGTTCTCAAACTAAGCCAGTAAGTCAGATCTAAAGATTAATGGACAATGGATGGAACAGAATTCAGAGGTTTAATATCCATTTATTCTTTTAGATTCCCATCTTAAGATTTGAGAAACAAGTCGAAAAGGTGAGTAAGGTTGCAAAGGCAAACTAGATGATAATATGATTTCTCCATCCATCCATCCATCCATCCAATTTAGGGTTGTGGTTAAGTTGGATCCCAGCTGTTATAAGGTGAGAGGCGGAGTACACCCTGGACAGGTCGCCAGGCTTTCATAGAGCTAACACAGAGAGGCAGCCATCCACTCTAGCATTCACACCTGTTGCCAATTTAGAGCCAAATATTGCTGAAATGTGGATGTCTTTGAACTAGCCCCCAAGCTTCTTGCTGTGAGACAATGGTGCTAACTACATTTCTTCTCAGTTATTGTTTTATTTCTTGGTCGGAAGCAGCATCCGCAAAAATCGGGCCCCTTATAAAGATGGGCAATTAGAATTATGGACAATAAGTCAGTAAGGTCACACAACGACAGCGTTTAGTTTTGGTCATTTTATTATATTCAGTAGCATAAAAGTATAATATAAATGTTTGCACAATTTGGCTCCCCGGGTGTGCAGTGAGCTTCCTCTTAAAGCTTTTTGTATAAATCTCAGTAACATGTGCAGCATCTATGGGTGCCATTGTGGAAATCGTAATTTCTGTTTGGAGCGTCGACATGTGGAATTCCTTACTTACACAAATGAACCCAGAACTCCGTTTTGGATCATTTTAAACTCAAACTGTCATGAATAATCTGCTGCCTCTTGTTTTATGGCACTTCAGTACACAGTAGTTGCACTGTTCTGTGTTGCTTTTCTTTGTTTTTACTGTATTTGGCTTTTGTGT